ATGGCGTTTTAGTCAAAAGACTATAACTAAAACTAAATTGAAAATTGCCGCCAAAATTAACACTGGATCTCAGGGACAGGGAAGCTACTTACACTAAAACAGGTTCAAGGAGCATAAGATGCTATGGTGTTTAGAGTGTCCTTTTTATTCTGTATGCTTGTGTGTTGTTTCAATTTGGTTTATTCCGGCAGCGTTTCTTTTTTCCCCCCACTCTCGAATACAAATTTATCATTAAGAATGTGTACAAAACATATTTTTCACAAATGTGACCTTTTTGTCGCAATAATTAGTGTGTAAATATTATCCACAGCTTTGATGACCATAAGCTAAACCGAGTACTTTTATTTATTCTAGCTCCTGAGGTACTAAATTATGAACCAATCAGCACTGCTACAGACATGTGGTAAGTTTTTACCTATTAACTAATATTGTTTATAAAAAATATAAACACATACCTCTTTTTGTTTACTTTATTACCAAGCTATAGCAAACTCAAATGGGAGTTATTTGATAATGGCTGAATCGTAGTAGCAATTTTCTCTAAAATTTATACATTAGCAAAGCAGCCGGCAAATGTATCAGTTAAATAGATTTTTTCCATAGAGATCACATACACCACAACCATAATTTCTGGTAAATATAGATGCTCAGCGACATATGGTGCATGCAATTTCCCACATGATAGTGTTGGCATTATTTGGGGACATTAGGTAGGCATACGCATTGCAGAAGGCACTAGGGATGTAATAGGCAAGTGCTTAACCTTTCATTGCTGTCCAAGTTGTATCACTCTCATATTGATAATGTGGAAGTGTAAGAAGCAACTGGCAATAACCACAGCTCTCTCAGTAACTCAGAGACCTCCGCCCCTAGCATTTTGATAAAAAAATGGGAGATAGTGTTCATAAACGTTTTGCACCAAATCAGTACACTGGGCCGTAGTAATTGTGGTGCTTTGAAAGCTCCTTGAACATGCACAGTGTACAAACAAAGAGCGTCTTAGAACAGACAGCGGTTTATTGACAATCAGTTATGGCCAAACATATGAAGAGGTGGAAAGGAACATCTCAATTTTTTTTCACTTACACCACAGGAGTGTTGGGGTGCTAACCTATGTCATGCTTACTGGAGAGTCACCCTTTCTTGGAGACACCAAGCAAGAGACTTTTTTGAATATATCACAAGTGAACATCGAATACTCACAGGGGGTGTTTGAAGGCATCTCTGACCAGGCTGTTGATTTCATCAAATCTTTGCTCATTAAGAACCCAAGGTAAGATTATGGAAAAGAAGGTGGAATTATAAATTAATGTGTGGACAGGGGTGGGAATCCATGGTCCAATGTGTCAGTCATACAAAACATTTCAGTTTATATATTTTCATTTACATTCAGGCTTTCAATTTAATTGCAAGGACATTTTAGAGAATTGATTGTGCATGATGTTAACTAGTGTGCTAGATTGCTATTTCCTCAAAAGTACTTAGGATTCTCTCAAGCATGAGTTGTAGAAATGGATGCCACTCTTTACTATCGGAGAAGCACTGGATACATCAGTATGTGTGATACAACATTTTTTCAGTGCATCTCCAATTTTTGTCTTTGTAAGACCGGACATTGGCTGAGATATCTTCTTCATATTATGGTTAAAGCCTGATCACTAATAAAGATCCTGAGTCCATAGATTAGCGATATCACTTCCAAGTAGTCTATATAATGGATGAAGATTAGAAATGAATTCAGTTCCCTTTAAGTAATGTTATTTTTTTTATCTAATGTGCAGGAAAAGAGCCCGAGCAGACCAGTGTCTCAAGCACCCTTGGCTTTCTCCTCAAGATGAGTCTGATCCTTTAAAAGACAAGAGTTTTGAGCAGAATGAAAGTGAATTGAAGACGCCTGATCCTACAAAAGAAATAGTATTGTTGGCTTCCTACACTGTACGCTGTCCATGTCATACCATAGAGACTGATCTGAATGTTGTGAGGAAACCATTTACAGGTCTTCCTGAGATACAGCAAGAAGTTGTTTGTTAAAAGCTATAACCTTACAGATTACATCCAAAGTGGGTCCAGTTTTAGACATTGCCAAACTGTATGACCCATGTCCTCTAAATGTAGCAAGTGCCTGTCTTGAAAAGAAGAAAGTGGACCTCTTTGTCTTCAAGCAACTCTGATGTCAGAACACGGTGACTTATGTTGATTTAGTTGTCAAAAGAACTATTGTGAAAACCTATACACCTTTGAACTTGGTGTTTGTGGCATTTATAATGTCTCGTGTTTTGTGATTCAGCGTTGCTGCTTTGGAAAGCTTCTGAACCTAAATTTGGCTTAGCTCTTGGAAATTTGTCACGCAGTCTTTAAGTTTTAACCGCTCTTCATGTTACCTGGAGAACATTATGGAGGACTAAAATTTGGTTCCTTAATAACTACAGCTTACTTCAAGTTAGAAACCCATTAGAAAGTTAGTTCAGGGCTTATTAAATGAACTTTCTAAAGTTCATATGCTGAATGCCACTCAGTATGCTAAAGACAAAGCACCTAGTTAGAGAAACTGTTTATTGCACTTGGAAAGATTTTAATGTTGCATGGTTTATTTTTTTATGAAACCCCAATTCACCAAACTTGTAAAGTATAAAAGTCATTGTATATTAATGTATTTATAAAAAGAAAATAATTTACTGTCAGGTATTACCATTTTGTTCTGTATGAAATATAACTCACATCTTGAATAACACCATTACCTGGATTTTCCATGCTTCTAGTTAACAGTAGATAAATATACTCTTTGCCCATCATATTCGCATACTAATAGGGTCACGTATAATGCTTTGTGAACACTGGTATGACCCTTGAGGTGCAATCAGGGAAGTGTTTAAAAATATTTCTCAATAGCCATGTAAATAAGAAAATCTAGTATATTTGTGTGGCCCTCTTACTTCTCAGCTTCCAAAATTTCTAAGTTATCTGCCATGAGGTGTGTGGCTGTTTTGAGAAGCAGCATTACAATCAGGGTTATTCACTATGAAAGTGAATTTCAAATTTAAGGTCAAAATAGCTGAACTGGAAACATTTCTAACATAGCCATGCTATCAGTTGTGCTACTCTGCCCTTAAATTTGAAATTCGCTTAGAATCTTCCATTTAGTAATTAACCCTGTATGTGCCTTCTTCCCTTGACATTTTGTTCCCTCCGAACTTAAGTGATCATTTTAGCCTAGTGACTGACATGGTCAGTATACGCACTGCTCTCATTATGGCACATGCAGACTTATGTGTAAGCCCTGTGAAATGTACAAGCCACTTGGATGTTGCCTGTGCCAACGACCTGAATCCTGTGTTAGCTACACAACTGCTGTTTGGACATGAGCAATAAGTAGTGGTTTAATGCACAAATGTAAATGATGAGCAATGAACAATGAATGGAAAATGAATGAATCTATAGCTCGTGAAGGTACAGCTAGTGAATATAGATTGTGTTAAATACATGTAAATGAGATTTATATATGGAATTTTCACTTAGACGGTAAAGTGTGTTGCATAATGCTTCTTTTCATTGTTCAGATGTTGATCAGGGGTTAGGATGCTTTTTGGAGATCTGATACTAAAACAATCTTAAAAGTGCTAAGCAGTGAACAGCTAGGATGCAGCAAATTTCTGGTTTAAGGTGAGAAAGTAGACTTTGGGGTGTATTTACTACACTGCAATTTTTAGGGAACTGACAACATTGCAATGTTAAAAACAAAAAAATACATCTGTCAAAGTTTGTAGTTTACAGGCCTGTTCTCTACTTGCACCTCACTTGCCAAATAAACACATTATAGCATCACTGTGCATGCGCACAAGGAACATCACCTACATGCATATACATACATGCCAGGACATACTTGAAAACGAGAGAAATCTCAATGTATCTATCCTGGTAAAATATTTTATAAATAAATAATACCCAATGCCCAAGATGTTACATGCATATGTAGATGACAATCGTACTGTCATGATTCTATTTGCTTACTATAGATCTTAATGCTTTCCTATGGAAAGCATTGGAAAATGCACAGTAGTGCCGGTGGTATTAACACTGCCTAGTTTTACATTATTTTCAACAACATATCTGTCTGTGCACATTGATCACAACATAATTACCATTTGCAAACTTGGTAACCATGGAAAGAAGTTCTATAAATCTATTTATTTGGGTATCTTATAATGGTTTTCTCATAGGGGTGCTTATATCCATTCAGAATCCAGCTCGGAAACAAAAAATACACAAATGAACTTGTGATGACTTTTAAAAAGGATTGTATTGGTTGTTTGTATACTTAAGATTTATTCTATTTTTTATGTGTCACTTTGTTTAAATAAATTGCCTTTTGTAAATAAAGAGAACAGTATATTTATACTTTGGGTTTTTTTCGCCATCAAAAAGTAGTCAACTTAGAGAATTATTATTACCATATCGGCCTATTGTGACCTAACATTTGACATTCCTGACAAAGCACACTGAAGCACAAAGGTGTTACAATGATATAAGAGCAGAAACGTTAAACAAAAGGGATGTGAAAATCAAAAAGGAAAATTAATTCCAAAAGCTGTGTTAGAGAGACATGGCTAAAATTTGCTTGGCTAAAACCCCCTTATCGAATCCCTAATTTCCAGTTTTGTGAATAAAACGTTTGATGTATTGATTAAATAAAAGATTCAGGCAGCTGAAAACCAAAATGAAAAATTTCAGTTAAAATAGCCGTACAGAAAACATACTAGTCAAATTCAGCTATTCACATTGTCAATTCTCCAATATTATCTGCTTACTTTATAGACCCCTGTGAGTATGTCTACATTTCCTAAGCTCGGACCTGGACTTAAGTTTTTTTGTTTCAAGAGTAAACTGGCAACTTGTATTAAGTAATTAAAGGATTATTCCAAGCACCATGACCACTTGTGACCAGTGATTTGAAGTGGTCATGGTGCCTGAAGTCTCTATGTGTAGGGTTTTGCTTTGAAACACTACACATACCACTCTGCCCTATTACTGGGGAACCAGTCCAAGATATACAAACTCACTCAGCTCTGCAGTGCATTATAGTGGTGCCAAGAGTGCCCCATTTTTAAGTGGTCAAACTATTTAATTTTGGTTTGACCTCTTACCTGGGATCTTTGTGCATCTCTGCCCTTAAGTAAGTCTTTTGTACAGCAACCTAGGCTCTAGTTGCCAGAGTTCCCTCAGAAGTCTGGAGTGGCATTCTGTTAGACGTCAAGCGTACACGGAACCCCAAGTTCATGCGGAAGCCCAGCCCTACCAAGAGATGCATGGTGCATTCAGATCCAATGGTATCCAACCTGGAAAATATTGATTGGCTGATAGTATTATTCCCTACACGGCCAGCCAGCCATTGTTGGGTTAAAGGAACACTATAGTTGTCTACACCACTTCATCTCAATGAAGTGGTCTTGCTGCAGTGTCCTTGACCTCTTAACCCTGCCAAACAAAACATCAGTTTTTGAGAAACTACGTTTACTTTGCAGGGTTAAGTCCACGTCTACTGGCTGACATCCACTAGAGGCGCTTCCGGTGCAGAATAAAAAAATAGGAAAGCATTGCAAGCTTGATAGCACACGTAGCCACACATGCGGCTCAGGTACTCAATGCTCCTTTATGAGGAGTATTGGAACATCACGGGGGTGGCCAGTCTGTTCGTGGGAGCCTCAGACTATAAAAAGGTAAGTAAATATTTTTTTTAATGTTTATGGCATACGGAGGGGTTGTTCCCAAAAAAGAGAAGGAACATGATAGCATTAGAAATACAGATTTGTATTCCAAATGCTCTAGTGTTCCTTTAAATTGAGATTGATAACCCAGAAGCAGGGCCGGACTGGCCCACCAGGATACCGGGAAATTTCCCGGTTGGCCGTCGGCACCTGGGGCCGGGCAGGCACCTGGGTCTGCTGTCGGCCGCTGGGGAGGTCTTCTGGCGGCCGCTGGGGAAGCTGCGCGAGCTGCGCTGGCTCTGCTCCCCAACGCGCAGCTGAATGAGACCGGCGCCGGAATATGACGTCATATTCCAGCACCGGTCTCATTCTGCAGCGCGCGAGGGCGGGAGGGCAGAGCCAGCGCAGCTCCCCCAGCGGCCGCCAGGACAAGTCCGCCAGCAGCCGCCAGAAGACCTCCCCAGCGGCCGACAGGACATGTCCCCCAGATGCCCCCAGAAGACCTCCCCAGCGGTAAAAGTCCCCCAGCGGCCCCCAGAAGACCTCCCCCTGGCAGGTATAAGTAATGTGTCTGTCTGTCTGGTGTGTGTGTGTCTGTCTGTCTGTGTCATGGTGTCTGTCTGTATGGTGTGTGTGTGTGTCTGTCTGTCCGTCATGGGGTGTGTGTGTGTGTGTTTCTGTCATTGGGTGTGTGTGTGTCTGTCTGTCATTCATGGGGTGTGTGTGTCTGTCCGTCATGGGGTGTGTGTGTCTGTCTGTCCGTCATGGTGTGTCTGTCTGTCCGTCATGGTGTGTCTGTCTGTCTGTGTCATGGTCTGTCATGGTGTGTGTGTGTGTCTGTCATGGGGTGTGTGTGTTTGTGTGTCTGTCTGGCCGCCGCGGGGTGTGTGTGTGTCTGGTTCGTCCGCGGATGTGTGTGTGTTCGTCTGTCATGCGGTGTGTGTGTGTGTATGTCTGTTGTCTGCGGTGTGTGTGTGTGTCTGTCTGTCGCGTGGGTAAAAGTCTGTCTGTCTGTCCGTCATGGGGTTTGTGTGTGTCTGTCTGTCCGTCATGGGGTGTGTGTCTGTGTCATGGTGTGTGTGTCTGTCTGTCCATCATGGTGTGTGTGTTTGTGTGTCTGTCATGGGGTGTGTATCTGTCATGGTATATGTGTGTTTCTGTGTCTGTCATGGTGTAAATGTGTGTTTAAAAATAGTGTTTTTGCTCACCTTTTTTTTTCCCCCATGCAGCGTGCTGGTCTCCCCTTGACTGGCCCTGCCTCTATAGCTGAGATCATCAAGCTTGATGATCTCAGCCAATCCAATGCTTTGCCATAGGATTGGCTGCAAAATGCCACTCCAATCAGCATCTCCTCATAGAGATGCATTGAATCAATGTATCTCTATGGGGAACGTTCAGCACCTACAGAGTGTGGAGGCCATGAATGTAGGTGCACTAACACAGGAAGCACCTCTAGTGACCGTCTGAGTGACTGTCTCTAGCAGTGTCACTTTGAAGCAATGTAAACACTGCCTTTTGTCTGAAAAGTCAGTGTTTACGTTGAAAAGCCTGTAGGGACATGCTATAGACACCAGTACCACCACATTAAGCTGTGTGTGTGCGTCTGCTAGTGAGTGAGCTTGTGTTTTTATGTCAATGAGCTGTTGTATATCAGTAAGATTGTTTGTCTACGAGGCTGTGTATCAATGAGCTTGTGTGTGTCACTGAAATGTCAGTGAAATTGCCTGTGTCTGCATGTGAGTATGCTTACTGTATAATTAAACGTTTTACCCTGAAAGGACCAATATTTTATATTAGAAAAAGCAATATATATATATATATATATATAAACAAAAATAAAAATCAAAATGCACTCACAGGTCTTCTGGTTAATAGGAAAACTGGTGCTTTAATAAATCATCTGTGATGTACAAAAAAAATCAATCAACGTTTCGACCCTGCCGGGTCTTTTTCAAGATCCATATATTACTCAATCATCTGTCCTGGCAAGACATAACCTTACATATTACACGTGACAATATATGGCGCAGTGACTTATGGGGCTGGCACAATTTTTTTTTCCAGGGCTGCTTTGTATCCCCAGTCCGACCCTGCCCAGAAGTGTAAATTTTGAATTATTATTGTAGCCAAGATCAGGTCTGCGTTTATAAAGGATCTTTAGCTTTCCATGTAGGAATGTGTTCACAAATGCATTGGTTTATTCTCCCTATACACAACAAAAGACAGAAATGGAAGGTATAAATAAAAGTCCTATCTACATTTCATGACTTTCAAATAGTAAGAGAGATATAAAATAAATCCTATAATTACCGTAAAACATTCATATTCTGTAGGTCTGGAGAAAGACTTTCAATGGTAAGAAGAAAAAATTCTCTATTGTCTCTCATATCCCATCTACAACTCCCATTATTCATGCCTTACTAGTACAAATTGATTTATGACATTTCTTCAAGGTCTGCTTGGTGATATGTAGGTAATGCATAAAAATATTTTTTGGCCTTGATTTAATTCTATTGGCAAAAAACTATTATTTTTTTATTTTTGCACTGCATATGTAATAACAAACGTGCACGGGGTACCCCAAAGGCAATCCTCATGCTTTGCAGATATTAGTAACAATGGAGTATACATTAGTACTTGCACAATTTTTAGTTAGGAGATGAAGTCATGTTCAAAATAGATTAGATGCACAATTTAATAATTATGTGATAGGTAATACTGTTCGGTTCATCGCTTAGCATATGTGGGCTGGTTCGATCAGCAGATATTAGTCTTCTTAAGCAAGGGTCATAAGCTGCAGCTGGCACAACCCTTCAAGTGTAACTGTGATTATTTAGCTTATTCAGCTTAGGGTGATGTACAGGCTAGCAAAACGTGAGTTACTATAGAAGATTGTCTAGTCTATATATGCACATTCAAACAGTGGTTATATTGATACCGGAGAAACTGACGGAAGCAAAGCACAGAGGGATGGACACAGGTTTCTTCAGGAAGGAAGAGATTCTTTATTGGATCACCGATCGGGACTCAGAGGGACTAATGTCACCAAAAATACAGCAAGTTCTGAGCCCTGAACAATAGTGCAGGCTCCCTATATAGGCACATAACTCCTCCCATATTAAGCTCCACCCGCACATTCTCTTGACCAATCATTACAAATAAGAATTAACTTCCTGCTTGACCGCATGGCTTGTCCAGCACAATGGAGGAGGGGAATACTACATCCTGTATTCTTGCACATGCTCCGTACACTACTGATCGTATCTTGCCTCGTGCAACCAACTGATCGATACGTCAGCATATGCACGTACACATGCCACGTGGTAATCTCGGCCTACTAAATTTATTTTTACCGAGATTCCACCACATTCCCCCCTTTGATGCCTCTTGATATTTTACAATTACTTGAGGCATCACTTAACCTTGGTTTGCATACACCACAAGTTACCTTTGAACCAGACCAGACTTATCCTACGATGTGAATCTTCAACACTCGTCTTCCTGCATTGGTTCTCCCTGATCTAGAGCCTTATATTTATAAATTGCCATTATCTGTGCAGCAGCCTTCCTCTCTGCTATATTTTCTATCAGGCTTTGCACAGACCTAACTACTAAGGGTATAAGACACGGCAGGAGTAGACACAACATTAAAATCAGTAGGACTCCACCTACCACTGCCTTAAGCCCTCCAAACCACTCATACCAGCTACCAAACCAACTACTTGGATTGTACCCTTTCCATACCTGAGTAGGCACATGCGCTAGTTTAACCATATGGCTAGTAAGCTCAGCTATTGCTTGCCCTTCGTCATCTATTTGAAGACAGCAATTGCTCAGGTTAAACTTCCCACATACACCTCCCTCTACTGCCAAAAGATAATCCAAGGCTAATCTATTTTGGTAAACTGCTGTCCTCATCCTGGTATTATGCTTCGCTAGAAGATTGAGCGCTTGTGATGTCTCGCTAGTAATGATCTCAACCACCGCCTGTAACCTTATAATGCGGTTGAGCATATAAATAGGGGTTCTATAACCAAAGGTACCATCCTCTGCCCACGTGGCTGGCCCATAATAATCTATAATACGCTGGGGAGGCCATTCATTATCTTCCCAGGCACCTATCTCTATGGGTCCCCTTTTCTTCCTATGATTCACATCATACACTTTAACACCTAAAGTCTCACCTGTTTCAATAGGCAACAAGAAGAAGGGATGGTTTTAACATACCCAACACACATGCCCCTTCCCAGTCCTGTGGTAACTCCGAATAGGCCTTCTTACCACAGATCCAGTACAAATTCGCTGGGGCTCTCCAGTTAGATGTGATGGATAGATCAAACCATACGTCCTTTAAATTGGTATATCTTGCAAACGGGTTAGATGGTTCTGAGACATTTGAAGCCGACCACCAAGTTGTATTCTTTGTATCATCATCATAAGCTTTTTGCCCTAGACAAGTTTATTCTCCTACAGAAGTATTATACATCATTCCTTTCCTCGC